GGGAGAAGAGCTTTTATTTGTGGAGTGATCATTATTATAACAAAGAAGAGCTACCTAATAATTTCCACTTTAACTCTGCAATATGCCATGAGCATTTCTGAACCATTATGCTAAACTGTGGTGGGGTAATCATTTTATTGTCACAGTTTGAAGGAAGAAAAATCCTCTGTATATCAGTAGCTGGGAGGTGCAGGAACACAGGAACACACTGACACACAGAGCACACAACAGAAAACTTTCAGTTTTGCTCCCCACGTGCTGCAGTTGGTACCTGCCATCCTTTGTACGGGAGCTGACAAGATTTTAACAATGTGTATTCTGAGAAAAGATGAAGATTTCATAAGAACCTTGTTTCCCTTGAAGTCATTAAGGACTTTGCTCATAAATCCTTAACATTTATCGATAGAGACCTTAGCTTTGAAGTCAGTGGCAAAATTCCCGTTGGCTTCAATAAGTTTGGGATTGCAGTGCCTCCCTCTGACATCTCTATCTGTGAGCTCGACCTGCAGGAGCAGCACAGTGAAACATGTGAGAGGTGAGCACTGATTTGCCTTGATATTATGCAGAGAAGGAGAGCAGCTCATTAAAACTCAACCGCTGGGCCGTTTCAGCAGGTGGAGGATGTGGCCACGTCACCTTCAGCAAGGAGCTGCAAGGTCTGTGCCTGCAGTTGGAGGGTGATATTTAGTTTTCCCTCAGCCCCACAGCTGTTCTGAAAAGATGCAGTGAATGTAATGCTCTCACACTAGAAAGTTTGAAAATCTTGTCTGAGAGCTGGGCTACCAAACTCTATTGGTTCTGATTGCAGTGGGCTTCCAGTTGTTCATTTAAAAACAAAAAAAGTTTATATATGTAGGAATGTGTAACTATTCCTTTTTTTTGGTTATAATTGTTCTCTGGGCTTAAAGTCTGTTCATGTTATCAATCCTGTACACTTCACTGCCTTTATTAGAACTGGTCTAAGATGCTTCACTGCATTTTTTCCATCAGTGAAGCTTCAGACTTTGACTAAAATCTCATTTTCTACAGAAAAAACTAAATTTTATGTAACTTATTTCTATTTGTTTTAAAAACACCATTTTAGAAATGATGCTTTAGTGTTACAGAAGGGCATGAGAAGTGATAATATTTTGAAACAAAACATTTTGTTTTTCTTGGAAATATTGAAGATTGTTTTAGTTAATTCCAGATAGAGATTCTGGAACTTTGCATTCTGGAAAAAAAAAAATGTTCTGTATTTTGGTTTCTCTTCTGACCAAAACAAAATGTAGAAAAAGGTCTCCAAGTGAAAAGATTATTCTGCCTAGCTCTGTTTTTCTAGGGTTGCACAGAAGTAAACACCTTCCAGACAGCACTTTGGAAGTTGCCAAATGATTAACAGAAGAAGTATGAGGAGCTGAGGGGCTGAACTGGCCAGACATTTGTACCAGGGGCATAAATAGAGCTGAGGTCATTGCCTTGCCCCCCTCCCAGCATTACCTGTGGTGATGGGTAAATGGGACCCAATTCTTCCATCCTCCTTGGTAGCTCCAAGCAAAGGGCCTGGGAAGGCAAAGTTTTAGTAAGACCAATGTCCTGAATGACACTGGCTGTTGCAAATATGTCATTGTATAAACATATTTTGTGCCTTCAAAAACAGGTAGCAGTCTGGATGCCTCCCTCAGCACGTCTCCTCAGGCTTCCTTGGGATGCAGCCCTGGAGTGCAGCATCCCTGGCAGGGCAGCACCTTCCTGCAGCCCTTCCAATCTGTACAGACACTTGCATTGTAAATAAGAGAAGCCGTGTGGGGAAAGTTGGGAGGTCCCACTGGTTTTTGTGATATAGGAAAATAATGCCCTGAAATCTTTTGGGAATGCACAGTGCCCTCGCTCTGTCTCATTCTGTGCCTGCAAAGGGCACCATCCTGTCCTGCTTATTAAACCACCAAGTCCTGCCTTTCCATCCTCAGAGGAGATATCCTGGGCTATTGCCAGCAGTGTTGATGAGGCACTGATTCAGCACAATTTCTACATATTTAAATGAGATTACACGTGTGGTTGGTCACATTGACTTTGAGGGCGAGAGTGTCCCAGCGAATAGCTCGCAGAACCAGTTCAGCTCAGGGACCTGAGTGTCTGCCCAAGTCCCCCCAGCTGCCATGGATGAGACTCAGCATGTATTTGATAGGAAGCAAATACATGTATAACGTATCAGAATCAAACACATGTGAGAACAGACAGTGCAGCACCTTGTACCCCTGAGTGCAATGCAGGTACTGCAAAGAACATCACAAGGTAAACAGCAAGAACTTCAGTGGGGACTTATAACTGCACAGCAGTATCTTGCATTTATTTTAAAGATGAATTGAATTATAATTTTGAGTTGTAGAATCATTTACTTTGGAAAAGACCTCTAAGATCAATGAGTCCAACTGTAAACCCAGCACTGCCAAGCCTATCACTAAACCATGTCCCCAAGTGCCACATCTACACTGCTTTTAAATACCCCCAGGGATGGTGATTCAGCCACTTCCCTGGGCAGCCTCTTCCAGTGCTTGACAACCCTTTCAGCAAAGCCTGCATATGTTTTCTGTTAATGGCTTATGGTCTCAAATAGTTTTTATTCACTGGTATTTAGGAAAAAAATGTTGCTTGTAGTCTCTAAGAAAAGTAGCTCGTTCTCTGACACATGGGAAACTGATTATCTTTGGGTTTTATTGTGGGGGGTTTGTGTCCACAATCAACTTGGAATACTGAAAAGGGTGTAATTTGGAAGTGCTTTTAATTTTTATTTAAGAAAAAGTTTGATCCTGTGAAAGGGCTAGATGGCATTTTGAAAAGCTGCTTTCACTGTAAATCCGCTGCTGTGAGCTTGGCTGAAGGGAAAGCATTTGCTTTTGGACATTGCAATGGTTTTTATGCACAGTTTTATGCAAGTATCTTGAATCCAAATTAAACATATTGAAGTTACTTCTGTGTGCGCGCTACATTTTCATGACGGTAATGTTGGGATGTTTCTTTTGTTAGCTCATGTAAAAGTTAATGGCTGTGTTCTGCCAAGATCAGGGTAGGGTAATGATTTTTTTCTGCCTGTTTGTGTTTTTCACTGGAGCTGGCATCCCCAACAGCTTAAGTAGTGGAAAAGTTTGTGCCTGACACTTACAACCTCTCGTAGGTAGGGACAGGGTCTGTTTGCTCCCCATACATGCCTGCCATCCCCTGTGCTATGAGTGCAGCAGTGTCCACAGAAACACCCACTGCTAAGGGTGACTCAACAGCTCCCTTTCCAGCTCCCTCCTGCTTCTCAGCTCCGTGCCTGCCCGCCCTGCCCGGAGGCTGGGAGGAAGGAGCTTCTCAGCAGCCACACTGACTCTTGCAATTAGCTCCAACCAACCAGAACTTCACTAAATAATCATAAAGATGCTCAGGGTCTCTTTAGCACTTTATGTCTGGAGCATTTTAAATTAGGCTTCTGTGAATAAGTCAATTTTCTGTCTTTACAATTAGAAGAATTTAGGACAGGGGCTGTGCCTCATTAAGTAATTCACCACACAGCCACATTAAGTAACTCATGGGTGCAAGGGTGTTATCCTGCATGGTGCTAACATGTGGGTGGCTTTCACACTCCTATCTTCCTAGTAAATCCTTACTAGGATGAAGTGCCTGGGTGCTCTTCCTTGAGAACGTCATCTAATACTCCAAGTCACAAACCAAATTAGCAGCTCAGCCAGCCTTCCCACCAAGCAGCAATTCACAGCCAAATGCCAGCAACCCTAAAATGAGAGGTATATATGCATATATATATATATACACACACATATATATTTTCAGCTAATGAAGTTCTGCTGGTTGACACTGCAGAATCAGAATAGGCAATGGCAGCCCTTCATGAGTTCACAGTGCAGCCAGCCTCTTCCCTCTGCTGAGGCCTGGGTTCTTTTCTAAAGGAAAGAATCTTTCTTTCCAGTGCTGATGTTGACTGGTGATGTTAGGCTGCTCCTTGAATCTGTTTTTCATGACTAATAAAATTGCTGCAGTGTCTACTTTACTTAAATGTTACCTCATGGTATGGTGTGGTATTCTCATCTCGTGCTATATGGGCAAGGAGAAGTTGGTGGCATTTGGGGTGGAGTGGCTTCTTTTCATCAACCTCTGTGACCACCCTGAAACTCCACAGCAAAAAGTTACCCAGGGCTTTTGCCTAACTCAAGTTATGTTATTCCTGTTGCTTAGGGACAGTTAAATTCTGAGTTACCCCATTACTGCAGAGAAGGTGAATCAGTATGTGAGTGTTTGTATTGCCCTAGCCCACCAATATTTGAGCTGAGCCTGCTTCTGCTGACATCATCTTAAACCAGAAGCTTTTACTGCAAGATGTAAGGTGACTGCTTTGAGCAGTGCCTCTCATTTATCCCATAGATGCAACACAACTGGAATGACTGTATGGCAGGGCTGTGGGGTTTGGTTTGGGTTTTTTTGTAATAGCCAAAGCATTAATCATGGCAGAATGCTTTAATACTCAAACAACATGGATCTGATTGCAGAATAGTTGAAGAAATGCTGAGGGTTACACCCTTTATTATTTAGCCAATTATTTTCCCATCATATTTATGGGAGTTTCCTTGATGAATTTGAGTTCTGATGGATAACAAAGCAGACTTACCAGTGATTGTTTTATGAACTCAGGTCATGCACATTTCATATAGAATAAAAAAAGGGATTTGTCCTGATTTCCAAGTGGTCTCTGCCCATCATGCTGTGATTTTTTTGTTAATGTAGGATTAAAATTTTTTTTTCGATGCAGATAATAAAACCAAACAGAAATTAATTGAGAAAAAAAATGCTTCCAAAGATATAGTTTGAGGTCATGCACATGTACTAGAAAGAACGTGATTGCTGAAATCTTTTTCTTAGGAAGGGGGGAAATGAAAGCTCCTTTTATTTTATTTTTCTCACGTCTTCTATCATTAAAATCCGGTTCTAACAGCAGAATACTTCTCTTTTTCATGTGTGTTGAAAAGCAGCTACACCATGTATCAAAGCCATCAGTCCAAGTGAAGGATGGACTACAGGAGGTGCCACTGTCATCATCATAGGAGACAATTTCTTTGATGGGTTACAGGTCATATTCGGCACCATGCTGGTTTGGAGTGAGGTAGGTGTTGTCTGAACGGTAATGTCTAATAGCTTTGTCTCGCTTACAGCCAGCCTGTCCTTTCTCTATGCCACATGCTAAATCAGCAACAAATGTTGAGACATGAATCCTTTCCTCATTCAGGTTTATGAAAATAATTAGTCAAATTTACCTGTGGCAGAAATCCCTTATAGCCAGGGGATTTGCATCTCCTCTCGCTGGCCCAGAATTTAGCTCAGTGGATTTTATTACAAGAAAAGGGAAGGATAAATGCCTGTGTGAATAATTCTGCATTTAGCACTACAATAGCTAAGGGCCCACAGGAAACAAACATTTAGGTGATCCTGCGTTCCAGGGAAATTGGCTGCTTGCAGCTACAGCTCAGTGAGGTGGAGACTGCAGAAATAAAGCCTCTGAATAGCCTATCCTTAAAATGTGGATTCTTGATCATATTTGCAACCAAATACACTGTACTGTATCCACAGTGGACTCATCATACCTACCAGAGGCCCCTGTAGTTTCATAGTAACCTTTTTTTTGCTTCTTACCTACTTTTTGCTATTACTGTTTCTCCCAGTTCCTTAAATCCTCTCTTCTCCCTGCACATAATTAATCACGGAGTCTGATATTCCCCAAAAGCCTGTGAAAAGTTAAAACCCAGGCAGCGTCACCCCAATGGCCCCATCCAGTGTGCAGGGCCATAGAAGCCGTGGCAGAGCTCCCCACTGGCACAGGGAGGCAGCTCCAAGGAAGGGTTTACATTTTGCATTTGTGGCTCTTCAAAAGCATTTGGGAGGTTTAACAAGAAATTGTTGTTTTCGTTACTTTAATTCTGAAATAAACATGCTAACAGACAAACCAACCTCTCTAAAGTATCTGTACAATGCTTCCCAGTAACGAGAGGATCTTGTGATGATTTACCTCCTGTCCTATAACTATTAGATCAACAGTATAGCTTAATTCATATCCAGCACATTCCCCCTACTGATTCCATCGCACATATGGCAGTGTTTTTTCCACGTGAAGAGTATTCTCTAATGTCCTTCATGGGCTTCACTGTTCTCTCTCCCTCTCTCATCCTTCCACTTGAGGACAAGTGTGGATGAAAGGGCATTCCAGAAAAGGAGATATAGTAAATGAGCCCTATTCTGAAGCCCTTATGTGATCATGAAAGTGCCCCCTGGGTCCAGTGTAAGCATTTTGTGTGTTAGTATTGAAGCCATTATGTCTACAGACGTTTAACAGGGAAAGGTGAAGAGGCTGGGAGGAAAGTGCTCTGATTTTGGTACTGCAGAGTTGGATCTTTCATTATAAATCTTGATTCTATTTATTAGAAAAAGCCATTAATTGGCAATTTCTAATCTCAGGAGAGTGAGTGCTGGTCAAAACATTGTTGCTGATGGTTGCAAGGCCTTATCATAAAATGAATAATACTAGAGGGGGTCCAGACCAAAGCCAGCCTGTTGGCTGTGAATGCTGTAAGGGGCTGCAAGCTGGTGTTGAGTGAAAAATGTGTCACTGTCTCTCGCTTACAGAATTGTTCCTTGTTTCATAACCTATGGGAGGAGTAGAAAATCCTATAGGGGAAAAGAAATTCTTTCTAAAAGAAGCAGACAAACATGATAAACAAGTGCAGAAATGCATGAGCTGTCTGAGTGATCCCTAAATAATAGTGATCTATAAATAATTCAAATTACACATACAAGCCACCTATGAAGTACAAAATAAGTTCTTTCATTTGCCTTCCCATTTCTAAAAATGTCTAGAGCATTTTCAGTACCCATGAAGAGTATTTTTGTTTTATTTTAATAGAGTATAAAATTGAACTGTCAATCCTCTGAATTTCAGTCCATTTTAAACTTGGAGCAGGTTCATCCTGAGTTGCCAGTCAGGCCCAGTTTTGGGCAAACCTCTCCAGGTTATTTTGTCATTGAATTCTGGATGAATTTTAAAGTTCATCCTGTTGTTTTATGAATCCAAAGAAAACATAATTTTAACAGAGCTGCAGAAAATCCCAAACAAAACTAGATAGGCAGAAACTAAAGAAAAAGAGTGCGTCTTGCAGAGCATTTTCACATGGATTTTTCTAGCTTCACTTCCAGTTATAATTGCAGATGGTTTGGAGGATGAAGTCTTATATTTAAATTAAGCATCATTTTGCTACAGACTTTTCATGGGACCTTGGGCAAATCACATAATCTGCTTAAAGTTCAATTCCCTTTCTCTAACACAGTAATAAGATTAGTCACCTTCTTTGGAGAGGTGCTGTGAAGATAATTATCGTAAAGGTCCTATATTACTCAGATTTTATTATAGCAAAATCCATGTAAATACCTGAGCTGCATGGATATTTAAAATATAAATCCTACCACAGTTCAGAGGCAGAGTTAAAAGCAAAAAAAAAAGCAAAAAGTTGTTCATCTTAAGAGTGAGTTTGTTGCTGTCAAGCAGCATATGTTATAAATAATTTGAAATGTAAATAATATATTTTTAATTTATTTTACATGTATTCAAGTTTTGTAATTGAAATATTTATATGCTTGAAATGGAGTTGACTGTGTTAAAAAAAAGGAGGTTTAAAATGGTTTCTGAAACACATATTTATTATTTAAACATATATTTTAGCTGTAAACACTCTAACATAATTGCAACCTTTCTCAACCAGGGAGAACTAAATAAAAACTTAATTTGTCACATTAATTTTGTGCAGAAATGCAGATACCCTAAGCCAGTAGGTTCAATTAATCCATGCCTCCCATATTACTTTATGAAAATTACTTTAAGAGCCCTTGATATTTTTAGAATTCAGCAAAATGAGCCACCTAATGCCTTTTTTTTCCAAGGGACTTTTGTAAGCGACAAACAAACAGTGCTGGTATATCGTGTGCACATGCTGACTGTGGACAGACAACTCCCTGCAAACAGTCTGTTTGCCAGACAGACTCTGCCTGTCTGTTTGTCCAGTCCACAGACAGACAGAGCTGTTATTTGGAGGTTTTTACCCAGGTTCTGGGTCTGTGTGTTATTGCAAATATTCCAAATAGGAGCTGCTGATAAGAATCCTCTGTTGCTTCTCTCTCTTATGGGGTGCTGAAAATCCAAGAGTCAAGTTTCAGGGCAAATACACGATTGTGAAGACAAAATTAGTTTCTTATAAATATTCCACAGTATTTGCTTAAAATGAACTATTTCTTCAAACATTTTCCTGCCAAGAACATTCCTCCAGCTGTACAGAGTCAGCTGGAAACAACTTCTTTTTCTTTTATATTAAGAAAAGATGAAGCACTGGAACTTTTTTTTTTTTTTACCTTTGTACAGCACAAAAACAGAGGATGATTTTTTGGTCTGGTGGTTTGTTGTTTTTTTGGGTTTTTTTTACTGCTGCTGAATCAAATTCTGTGACATAGTTTTTTTATTTTGCTTTTTATGTTTGTTATTGATTTTGGAAGTCTCTGTTTTTGAGTGCTTATTTTGGAGCTCTGACTCATTTTTAAAAAATGAGTAGGCACCCTCTTTTTGCAAACCAAGGCTTATTAAGCAGCATCTGGATGCCCAGAACTGAGGCATGCAAAGTCACTGGTTGTTTTTTAAAATATAGGCACCTCAAGGGTTCTGTTCTCACTGAAAGCTGTCATTACCTTCAGTTGGTGGGATTTTTCTTCATTCCTCTCCTAATGGTCCTCTTCACACAGAGTCAAAGTCAAATTTATGACTGATTGTCACCATTTCCCTAACCACAAACCAGAGCTCAAGCATGCAAAAATAAACTAGTGACTCAGATTAATGACATCTCCTTATAAAATGTCACTTTTAAAAAAAGAAAGTAACCTGGCACTCTGGAGAGTGTGAAATGATGCTGTATCACACAAGAATGTCTAGAATATATTAGCAAACCACAGAAAGAGGCTTGTTGTACACACTCAACCCAAATGTGTTTTGGATTTTGAAGGACATGCACTTCCCACCATTCTGAAGATCTCCACCTCAGGTTTTAATGCAACCCACTGCGTGTCCCACATGACATGTAGGAATTTATACCAAACATCTAATGCAGTTGCCAGGTAGCTTTATGTCCAGCTCCGTTTCTCACTTTGCTAAAAGCTGGAATGGCGGAGAAAGATGGATCTGGGATTTTGGCCGATGAGTTCATGTCCAAATCACAGGTTAATACCTTGCTCGAGATTTACATTGAAAAAATGTATTCATAAATGTACATAACTAATGTTCAGGAATTCTTTGTTCTTGGCATGTCTTGCTATGCTTGTTTTGATGTCTGTTAATGCACCAAGAGTTCCCAGGTGAGGTGAGAACACAAAACTGGCCATGCTGGGTCACACAAGGAGGTTCATCTCACTCAGTATCTTGTGTTTGGCATTGGGCAAGGAAACAGATGTCTGTAAAAAAAAATGGGATGAGCATGTCATGATGCTTCACCAAAACTCTCTACCAACTGTTTGGGGCTCAGAGGCTTCCACAAGTTGTGTCTTTACTTTTAATATCCCTGCACTGTAGTAGCTCACCCCTTCCAGATGCTTTACATGAAAATATGACACAGATTATGTCTTGAAGTGTGAAAGGATAATAGGGAAAGGTGGAATGAGTTCTCAGTGTAAGACCACAGGTTGACAATGTAGACACAGGAAAGCATCCCATAATCCTGGAGTTATTGAAGTCAGGGGCAGATTTGCTTTTGCCATGGGCAGGTCTGGAGTGCCCAGAGCTGTTCAGCACCAGTTGGGTCGGTCACAGGGGTTGCAGAACAGGGCCAGGGCAATTTGGAAAGCTGGTCCCAGTCCACAGCACAGATCCTGGCAGCTTTGTGGATCAGAGTTTGAGACCGAAGGTGGGTTCCACAGGGCACGTTTCCATGCATAAGGGAATCTTGTTTGTCCCTTAAAGACAAATGGCAGCAGTATAGGGAACTCCTGGTATGTAACCAAGCTGGCCAGTTCCCCTCTGTGTGTGTACCTCCCAGGCTTTAGTTCTAGAGAAGGGAGGAATAAAATACATCCTGAGCATCCTAAACCATAGGACTTCAGACATAATGTTCACCCTTTGGGAATGTGTGGGCGACATTATTGTATATTTGTGGTTTTAAACATAGTTAAACTTATTTACTTCAGAGCACAAAGGAAAACCAAACTGTTTGTGGAGAACAAACCAGGAAACTTGCCTAACTCTCCCCAGCTCTCTGTAACAATGGACCATAAATAGGTCAGACATTTCTTGGGAACCAGGGAAGATGAGTATTGGAAAATGCCACAAATTATGTTTAAGGAACATTAAAGTGGTGACAGACCAGTAAATGCTGGGAAATTCAAAGATACAACCAGAAGCTGCCTGTATAGCTCATGCCAGAATGGGGGTGAGGGATAGAAAGCTCATGCTGATGTAGTAAGATGAGCATTTTAACCTTTTCTAATAAAGTCCCTGGCTGTTTTTACAAATATTTTTTCCCTAAAAATGCCATAAAACTTTTCTCATCTTGCCAGTTCACCCAGTTAACTAGAACCACTTGAGGATGGGATTTATCTCAGTTATGTTTGGCTGCCTGCAGCTAAGCATCTGGTCTAAACTTGTCATCTTGGTTCACTGGAGGAAGGTAGATGCTTCCAGAGTGTGGCTTATCCCAACATGAGTGAGAGGTGTCTAAAGCACTAGAAATCAGTTGCTACTTGGCAGAGCTTTCTGCCTCTGCTGACTTTGAGGGCATGGAGAGAACTGGCTTGGAGTTTTGGGCTTACGTCAGCCCAGCTGTAAGACAACTCAGTTCAAGTAAAAGCATTCCTTGGAAGTTTGGTTTTTGGTTTTGTCTCCATTTTAGTTTTGGAATTTTTTTTTTTAACCCAATTGATAGAGTGAGTAATTTAGAAAAAAAAAGGCAAGTTTCTTTTAAAAACAAATAAGTTTCTAAATCACAAAATCTAAATTTTGAAGCAGAGCCTTAAAACAGGTTCTTTGGAGCTCACAAACAATAAGACATTAATCCTTCCATGATAATTTCTAATATGACATATGGCTTCTGACTTCTTCAGATCTGAATAACTTTTGGAGCATTTGATGCTGGTAGTTTTGGTTTTAATGTTCAGTGTGATTTAAAATTAATTTTCTTATTTTAAATATGGAGAGCTTCCTACTGTGTATGCCATTTCCCTCTGTAGCACAGATGGCTCTCAGACAAATATTACTCTCCTTCTGTGCTTTTTTTTAGTGTGCCCTAAACAAAGAAGTGGTTAAAAGTCTGGTTTTCGGTAGGACCTTACAACAATGCTGAAACATTTGGTTCCTAGTAAAACAAGATTAAAATTAGCTTTTTATTTAAAAAACCTATTGAAATTTATTCCGTAATACAGTACATGATTCAATTAAGAGATGTCTGGATGGGGTGTTCATGGCTTTGCTCACTATCAAGGTGGGTTATGATCTTAGTCTTGTTTGCCTCTTTAGAGGTGTGTTCATGTGCCACAGTCAGAGAAGGAGACTGTGCCAGAGCTGTATCCTTGTTGCTGGACACAGTCTTGTCACCTTTTCTATGCATCTCTTTTTACTGTTCTTGTCTGAGAGATTTGAGTTAACCTGCCATGAATCAGTGAACTCCTGGATGCTCTACTATCTCTTCCAGAGACTATGTCTTAAATCCAGTCCAGAATTTAAAACCCTGGGCTTGGGCTGTGCCGTGAATCTCAGCCTGGGCTTGTGCCGTGCCGTGTTCACACGTGTAACCACGTGTCATTTATCAGTCAGGTTTGTTGGACACCATCATGACCTCAGTGTTCACCTGAGCAAACACAGTCCTGCTGCTGTGACTGAAGTTATTGCATTAAGCCAGGACTAATGCTTGTACTAGGAAGCAAGTGCCTGCCATGTGTGAGAACAGAAATAACGTTGTTATGGCTGAGGAAGAGAATGCCTGTAAATATTGTAGTCACTGGCTTTTGTGTGGGTTACATCAAGATTGTATTCAAACACTGACAGGTTAATTACATGTTTCAAAGCTTGTTTACTGTGATCTGAGAGGAAACTGTTATTAAAGAAGTGTTCAGCGTCTAACAGTGCTTTCTTTCTCTTTCTTCTCCCTTCTCAATGTTTTCTCTAGCTGATTACTCCACATGCTATCCGTGTACAGACGCCTCCCCGACATATCCCAGGGGTTGTAGAAGTCACATTGTCCTACAAGTCTAAGCAGTTTTGTAAGGGAACGCCTGGAAGATTCATTTACACAGGTAAGGATGCTTTAGTAGTACTAGATACAAGGTGGAGAAATAGGGCAGGCAATGTATCACACTTTTTAGGGTATGTATCACACTTCTGCTTTCATCATTTTATTATTTTGGCTGAGGATGTCACTGAAGGCTCCACTTTGAGGTTGGATTCAGAAATGGATGACTCTGGGGATGAGTCTGAAAACATACCAGCGTGGGATTTTTGTTTACTTGCTTTTCCTTGCAGTGGGGCAGCTCTTTACCCAGGAGGGGGGAGGATGGAAGGAAACAGATACTTTTGTACTTAAAAAGAGGAAGAGTGCAAACACAAAGAGCCACACACTAGTGCAGTCACAAACCTATCCTCCAAGAAGGATCCTGCTAAATATCTTCATCTTGTGCTGTCCAGCAGGTACTGGAAGTGTTTAAAGCAGGTGCCTGTTTGCCTGCCCAGCTCACCAGAACACACTTGTCTCTGACTTCCAGGGAGGTTAAGTAGCTCTTATCCCAGCCAATGCTGCAGACACAGTGACTTGCAGTGTGTTTTGGGGTGGTTTCCCACACTGGAGACCGCTAAGTTGAATGACTGAAGAATTATTAAGCAAACCCCCACATTAGGACATTGCAGATGCTTTCAGTGTTAAACCACTCTCAGCAGTTGTAAGAATGGCCTGGGAAACAAATCAAGTTGCACCTAACTTTTAAAAAGAATGTGTGTCAGTGATTCCTCAGAAGGTGTGCATACTACAAGGATTAATGACTTTGTCCAGGTTTTGATGTTCTTGTTGTTCACATATGCAGACAGGGCTACTGCTGTAATTGTTTGCCTGCACTGTGGTTCAGCACAGTCCAATGCAATTCACCTCCTCATCCTTGATTTTCCCAGAAACTTTAAGAACAAGATATATCATAAATACTTGTGAATATGAGGCATTCTGAATTCCACTGGGCATATATATTGCTTCAGCTGTCAATTTATACACAGGGACTCGAGGCAGAGGAGAAAATTCTGTGCTCCAGCTGGGCAGCAAAGCTCTTATTTGAATTTTCTTAACACTAAGCAAGTTGAACAAAGGTGCCTTATAAAAGCTCTGTTGTCTTTTTCAAACACCCTCTCCCCCAGTTGGGATTACGCACTGGGTTTCTTTAAACTGGCTCTTAAAATGTTCATGTGTTGCCTTGCTGGCCAAGCAGCAGGCACTTGTGGAGGCTGTGTGTGTTTATTTGGGAGCATTATGGTTTCAGCAGTGTGTGAGAAATCTGTATATTGGACAATACACACCATATCAAAAAAGTTATTCAGAGTTTGAACAGTGTTGGAACAAAAGAAAAAGCTAAGGGTCAAATTGCAACTGGTGCAAATTGGTGGTGTGTGACATGTAACACGGCCAGAACTCTGGACTGTCTGACCATGAAGCCTTTCCCTCCTCACTTTCTTACTTGCAGTAAGTTGTGCTGCCCTGCTTTTTGTCACCTCACTGGGGTGAGTGCACCTGGGCCTGGTGAAATGGCAGGTGTGGTAGGAGAAGGAGAAGAAAGGGGGGAAACCTGCACCTCTCGACTTTGCAAAGAAATTTCTTACAATTTTCGGGGGGGTTTAAATGTAAAAATGGCTTGGACCCGTTTTGGTGTTGCTTTCAGATCATCATTCATTACCCTTTCCAGTAAAAAGGAGGGCAGCAATTTAGCTTATCTACCCAGAAGCAGATGGCTGAGTGTGGAAATCAGGTGTCCAAGTAGGGAGAGTGATTCCATATACGCATTTTCAGGTTGGTGTTTAAAACACATTATTTTTAATACAAGAAATTCAAGTTATGAAATTCTAAACAATAATGATAAAATCAAAGGTGATGCAGTTCATGGACAATTCTCTTGCTTATGCAATTACTTATGGAGTTACAATAGCTAACAGAAAACCTATTTTGACTTAAATCCTACCTCACACAATTTGCATTTTCCTTTTAGAGGCAGCCTGAACTTAAATGTGGCTTTTTAAAAAGGACTAAATGAAACTAAAATAAAAACAATTAATGCATCCTGACCTTCAGAAGTGCCTTCCAGCCCTTTAAACAAAATGCAGGTTCAGTACACGCCTGCCGATTAGTTTTAGTTAATTGAAAATTATAGGATTGACCCAAGAGGAAAATTTTGTTTGCACTCCAATCACTTTTACAAATTAAGGAAAATTACCACAATTTTGTTTAGCTAAGGTTTCACACTGAGTTCACGAAATTAGCTCAGCCATCCCAACAAAGTCAGCACTTTGTTAGTGAGCACTAGAAAAAAACTAATAGTCTATGGTGTGTACAAACGAAGCATAGAAAAAGCTATGATGCTTTAGAGAACTAGGCCAAGTGGTTTTAATTAGGATTATTGGTTCATTGTAAGTTTTGAAGAACAATCAAACTAGCAGATTAGCTGTTTCTTTTAAAGCTAGAATTTCTTGCCATTCATTTTTCCCATGAGAACTTGTTTTAACTCCCACATAGCACTATTTTTTTTTTCTTTTTTTTTTTTTTTTTTTTTTTTTTTTTTTTAACAAGGCCTGCAGGAAATGGACCAATTGGAAGTTGGGATACAGTAACATTCCCCAGCATCACTCCAGCCGATGGGAGTTTTTCACAATGTTCTTCAGTGAACTCAGTGTTCTGGAACATATTACAAAACCACAGAGGCCAAATGTTTTCTCAGAGGAGTTTGGCCTCTGTTTTTGGCCGAAAACATTTCAGCATCACTTGCTGCTTATTTACCCTGCTATTAAGAACAAGAAAACGGCAGAGGAGAAAAAGATTGAGGGGGGAGGTGGGGGGAAGCAAAAGAAAGTGTATGTGAGAGAGAAAAAGACCTGGGGTTTGTGGGCGGTGCAGGAGTTGATCAAGCGTAGTTTCCTTTCTGGTGAGAATGTCCCTGCTCGTTAATGGTCCCATTTTGTGGTCAGGTCTCATTTAGAAGAAATTATTTTTAATCAGTGTTCAACAAAATATCCCCTCAAGCCACCTGGCTGTAAACTGTTTTTTTCTTACTGTTAAGTAGTTAAGTTCTCAGAAGAAAATACCCAGTGACCCATTAATTTTAGCCTTTTTTTCCCCTTTAACTGCAAATAACTTAGTAACATGATCTCTAAGTAGCCCATGTGCCATCTAGGAATCAAGGTCACATATATACAGAGAAATCCTGGCTTTTGTGAGTATTTTTGAAAGAAATAAACCAGTGTCAACCCTGTGCTTACACAAAAACATAAGTTTTTTATTTTCCATCTGCAGAGCAAGCCATTAACATGCACTTAGAGAGCAATTATTTCTTAGATTTTAAGATTTGACATTCCTGAGAGAACATTATTAGAAATACAGAAGTCTGAACAAACCTTTCATGTGTGTTCATTTTGGAATAATATTAAAAGTCCATTATGCACAAAGAAATACCCAAACACGCTGGTCAGTGTTTCCCTGCGGTCCCCTTCATCTCTAAGTGTCTTCTGGCATTGGAGAGAACTGAATGAATTAAGCTTCATGTCACAACTTGGGATGTGTAGGTATGTGTCACTACTATTATTTTAGGACTGGAGAAACTGGGATAAAGAAAAAAGCCATTAGGAATACAAATCTGTATGTAGTTTGGCAAGGTGGCTCAGGGCATATATGGTTGAATTGGCACAAATTTGTGATGCCTAGACAGGCCTTTGAGATTTTATTTTGTTTTGCTCTAATTTTAAAAAATGGATGCATCCTGAACAGCATGATTTTCACAGACTAGTTTTGCTGTGGTACTAAAATGTGAGGTTTTGAGTGGGACTGCGTGAATGTAAGTGAAGGTAGAATTTATCTCACTGCATATAGGAAAGGACATATGGAAGGTCCATAAAAATGCATTATGCTGTGTCTCCTACCACCTGCTCAGTTTAAGATTTTGTGCTTTTGTTCCTAAACCAGAGCAAAGGACTACACAGGGGACAGAAGTACCGAGCTTTGTCATCAGGGTTACGTGTGCAACATGGGGTTAATTACAATTCTTGACTGAGTAGTACCCCAAATACTGCTCCTTCTTTTTGGAAATAGGTTACATGGTTGGATACAGTTGGAATTTAGGGGCCATTTCAATTTGCATCAGCCTTGCAGGGAGGCTGTTGGCTGAACCCTTTGTGTCCCCACGGTTCATTTGGGGTTTGGTATAGGCTGTGGGATGTGCCGCATCTCTAGAAGTGCTGCTAACGAGAATGGGTGGATGGAGGGTTGGTGTGGACACACAGGACTTGTTATGCAGCGGGAATAACCCAGGTGCTGAGTGCTGATCCTCCAGGATAACTGTGGTGAGGGCCGAGTAGGTCAGAGTGGACACTGCCGGGGCCGACCAGGGTTTGCGTTACACTGTTGGCCACTGGGTGTGGAGTGATGTAGAAATCCTAGTGCTGTGAAGGTCAGGATATTCACAGGATTTCTGGGAAACTGCCTCTTTCTCTGAAATGTCATAGGGCTTCTCAGGGAACTTTACACTCCCCTAGTCCCTACAAAGAAGAAATAGCCTCATGTGGAAAAATCCTGCTCCATCCTCTAGTTACTTGTGAAAACATCTGAGTCTGTGTACAAACAGGAAGAGCCTTACAGATTACAGATGATTTGGTTAACATTTCCACAAATCTGAGTTTTAGGTGGCTTCATTTTTAGGTTTTTAATTTTAAGTGGTTTAACTTACAGAAGCACTGCAGAAACAGTAGTTGTCTTCCGAGAATCATTCTCTTTTCATTTTTTTAAAGTCAAATACCTTCAAGAATGAAAGACCAAAAACTACTTCAGTCCATAGGTCCTAGAAGCAGAGGTTGAAATCATGTGTAGAGATCCAGTCAGAATTGGAACCATTTAGAAATGGATCTTGAATCCCTAAAGTTTCCAGCCTGGTAAACTTCAGTGATTTCCTTTGCTAGCAAAATTTTCTGCTTTCAAGAAGGCACTAACAACTATGCAAAGTTAAAAAGATGCACAATCAACGAAACAATCAGTTTTCAGAATGTAGAGTTCTGGAGTTTT